ACAAGTATAAAAAGGTTTAGGAATTTTCCAAATATTACAAAAATGTTGAGTAATGATTTATTTGAAAGAGGGTAATGGTGAAATGTCATAGCAATGATTGCAGGTTGTATAACATACATTAAGGTAATGCAGGTGAAAAACCTTCTGTGAAATATCACCAAACAAAGATTGATAATCTGACTTCGTGCTACATTTTTATTACATAATTATTTTTCTTTTGTATAATTCATAAAGATATATATGTTGGAATATCTCAAGTAATCCTTTGTTGATATTTTCAATTTTGTTTGAAACAAATATTAAATAATGGTTAAACTTTTTCGAAAGTTTCGATTTCGTTAATTTAGTCCGTGAAAAATTGACTCAATTAAATCTTTCATGTTAAATTAGTTTAACGGGATTAAGTTTTTATAACCTTGAACGTTGTTGTGAACAATTTTTTATACTTGGTATAAGCATGGTGTTACATGAAATTTTTAAGTTTAACGTAAAAAATGTTTGATTAAATAAAAGTCATCTTCAATTACAATAAAGCACCACTCAGAAATCTTCTTCCATGTCCATCACCTAGAAATCTTCTTCCCTGTGCATCAAACCTGTGAGAAGAAATCCAAAAATCAATTCCAAATTACATTTGAATTGGACCTCACATAAACCTGTAGAGAAATTCCAAATTTCACAACCTGAAGAACCCTAAATGCAAAACCTAGATGCAAACCATACTCTGACGCCTCTTCTTCCAATCCCATACTCTGTATCTTCTTTAATAATCTTCTCCAATACCCTAGAGAAAGGTCCCAGCAACTTCTACATACATCGAATACTTCATGGATTGCAAAAACAAAATATGACACACTCTGCCTAAACTTTGATTATCATTTGAAATGTTCAAAAACAGAAAACAAAATTGAAATGAAAAAAGGTTATCAAGATTAATTCACCTCGGCAGGAGAAATATAATCGATCAAGAAGTTTATCTTGAGAACTGGCCTTATAACAACAATTCCACCAATCAACTTTGAAACGTGGAAGTTGTGTTGCAAGTTATTGTCTTTCGCTGAAGATGCAAGCTTGTTGAACTCTCCTCCTGTGCAGCAACTGAGCCAAAATATGAGCCACACGAAACTCTTGAACCCTCATTTGCAGCATCGCGTCAACAGTACAATGAAATTGATTAGAAATTAACGGGGATAGTTAATCCTGATAGGCAATAGACCTTGCTTCTGAGTGATCTGTTCATTTAATTCTTTACTTAGAACTTTGATGCTTTACGTGTTCATAAACTTAGTTGTCCCAATTCGGATACAAATATATTTCAATTTCTACAAACTGCTCAAAATTATATTTTTTAATGGTTTTTCTTCAAGTTAATCTTTTAAAATTTTGATCGGCAAGGATGAAAAGGACAGTGGAGGGGAGGTTTGGGTTGGGATGGAGGAGCGGGGAAAGGTTCAGAACAAGTGGATTGCGTCTATGCGTTCTCTGAATATAGGGTCACTGGAATGGGAATGAGATTGAAAGATGGTTTGGGGATCGATAACTTCAAGCACACTAGCCAAACCGGGCTTCACCCCCTTCTACATTGCTGAGAACCTGCAGGCCCAATCAACCCTGATAGAGGAGGTCATTGTCGACGCCTGTCATTAGATTGGTAAGGTTGAAGACGATGAACCTTGGGTTTCGATTCTCAGATTTTTTTTTTAATTATATATTCCATGTATAAAGCTCTCTTAATGTCACGTTTAAAAAAATTGTCCACGTCAACGTTCCGGTCATAAAAAAACTTAGAGTGATGCTCCCTCCATCACTCTCATCTTCTCCCTACACCTCCCCAACTTTTTTTAAAATTCTAAATTTACCTTTTTTACTTTTACCAATTTTACTTTTTATTTTTTAAAACCTCAATTTTAATCCCTTCTCACTTTTATTTTTTCTTTCACTCTTAGCAGCAAGCCTCCACCTCCCATAAAACACTTATAACTTCTAATGAGTTTTAAAGTATCATGATTCCATAATATAATCTGCTAAAATTTCTTTCCCACTTCCTTGTCTTTAAATAACCAAACTTGAAAATTTATGCTTAAAATTACATTTGTGTTTACAATGATGCAATGAAAGAGAAGTGTGTTTGTTGAGTACAAAATAAAAAGTGAATAAAAAAAATAGTTAGTTCAGTTTATCACTAGGTGTTCGGTGAATTTCGTGAAATTTGAAAGGAAATGAAAAATGTTGTGTTAATGAAAGTGGAAATTAAGAGAAAGAGAGAAAGTGACAGTGGAGGGTGGAGACTTGCTGCTAAGAGTGAAGAGGAAAGTGAAAGTGAGAGGGGATTGAGATTAGGGTTTTAAAAAATAAAAAGTAAAATTGGTAAAAGTAAAAAGTAAAAAGTGTAAATTTGAAATTTTAAAAAAATTGGGAAGGTGTAGGAAGAAGATGGAGTGGTGGAGGGAGCATTACTCAAAAACTTAACCCATTGAACTAATTTAACTAGAGGAATCCAATTGAGTCAATGACAATGACAAAACCGATATCTAACTGAAAAAAACTCACATAAATAGGAGATTTCCGAAGAGATTTAACCTTAAATAATTCAATTTTAAAAAACACAGGTAACGTAATTATCATTAATTTAGTTACTATTCTAAAATATTATTCAGATGCTAGATTAATATTCTTTTATTAATAATGATTGAGATTCTCTTCTTTGATTCAAAACACACATACACACAGTTTAAACAAATTACAAAATGTAAGGGAGGTAAAAGACAACAATTCCATAAAAGGTACATAAAAGGTTTAAGGAAAGAACAGCAAATCAGTAACATGAGGGTCGTAACTTGATGATCTTTGTTTCACCGCAGGGTTGGCAGTTATCTATTCTGCGGTTGTTCTTGTAGGCTGCATAAGCAACTATGTAAACAAGGAAAAGGAAAAGTAACACAACGATATTGACTACAGAGACCCTCCTCCAAGTTTTCTTCAGTGTAGCCAGCACACCAGCTTTGCATGAGTCACAGTCGTAGCAAAGCAAGCTTTGCTCATTGCTCCACTTTCTGCAATCTGTGTTGTTACTTCCCACAACTCCTTCTGAGCTCCACACTGTCTGGTTCTCATACCTGTAACCACACTCTGTCGGGGGCTTGCAACATCCAGACTTCAATCAAACACAAAATCATCAATCCAAATACATGAAATTAGATTTCAATTTATGATTAAATAAAACAATAAATCTAACAAATAACAAATTTAACTAAAATAAATTATAATTCACGAACTCCATTGTTGTAAGTTCAAATTCATCAAAATAAAACATTATATAACGGTAAAAGACTCATTTATTTTAAAGTTTTGTACAAAAAGTGAACATTGAGCTAAGATGTTATCATTGTCGATTTTATTTTTAATTAATTTAAAACTTTTAATAAATATTTTTTTTAAAATAAAAAACTTGTTTAATTATTTTTAACGTAGATAAAAATTAATTCGGTAAAAGGAAAATTAAATGAAAGAATGATTAATATCCCAAAAATTGGCGTGACTTTATCTACCAATTCAAGCAAGAAAGAGTATGGTGAGATGATATAGTAGGAAAATTGTCAATTCATTATAAAAGCTGGAAAATTTTGTGAGGAAGACTGCCAACAACTATGTTGTGATGTCGTTGAGCCATCATAAACTCGCTTTTGTCAGCATTGAATCATATACTAAAATAATATTTAGGATTCTCTTAGTTTTTTTCCTCGTTCAAAATAATATTTTTTTTCTTTCTTCCAACTTGTACGTGTCCTTTTTAAGATTTACTATGTAAGAGTATTATTTTTTTCAGACAAAACTAATTATTTTAAAATGATTTTGAACAAATTTCTGAGAGCAAAAACTAATTGACTGTAACAATCGAAAATACAGATATTCGATTAATATATTCTTAAGAAAAAAAGTGTTGTCTTTTAGAAAAGACAGCTATAAAAGCAATTTGAGAAATTCGAAGGTGGCCCACGGCCCAAGAGCCCAACTTAAACAAGACAGGCTTCATTTTCCAGTTGAGATCAAATGTTACATGTTTTCTTTTTGTTCCATTACTTAAATGGAGAAAAATTAATATTTTTTTAGGTATTTTTTACAATTAAAATTGAAGTTACATTTTAATAGTCTGTAATATTAAAGTAAAAGACTAATTTTAAGTAATCAATAGCATTGACTAAAGAACAATGGAAAAAAACAATCTTCTAAATTTCATATTTCTTAAATCCGATGAATCTAAGAGTCTGGTCAAGTTCAAACTTCAAGAACGTCAAATGAATTAGAATTTTAATTC